TGGGGAGATCACAGCCAGGGAATGTGGGGAGATCACAGCCAGGGACCCTGGGAGATCACAGCCAGGGACCTGGGGAGATTACAGCCAGGGATCTGGGAGGGATGACAGCCAGGCGACCTATGGCAGGTCCCACGGTCACCTGGGGGCTCCCCCAAGCCGTCCATCAGCATCAGGAGCAAAAGCAGCTGCAGTGACGTGTCCCACTTAACCAGGGCCAGTCCCTTCCAAGTCGGGGTGACCTTGTAGGGCAGCAGAACCCCAGGCAGCGTGAGGGTCTCCATCTTTCCTGGAACACGCTGGCCCGGAGTCCCCTGTGCTCGGGGCTTTCCCGCCCGGACCTCTGTCCATTGCTGTGGAGAGAGGATGCTGACCCACGGAGACCTTGGTGGACAGAGTAGAGCTGCCCTCGGGGTCCTGAGGCTGTGATGCTTTCAGGAAGCAGCAGTTCTCTTTCTATCAGGAGCGCTAGTGGGTTCCCACCCAGCTCTGGTTCCCCCAGAGCTCCTTCCCCCTCTGCCAAGGGTCAAGTTCTAGTGCACAGCCATGGGTTCGGTGACTGTCCTGAAGAATGCAAATGCCCCCTCCATTTCTGCCAACTGTTGGTACATGTAGACTTTTTTTGCTTTCCCTCCCGAGTGTCCCTGGACATTTGAACTTGAATGTGTGCATTTTCTGCCTTTCAAAGTATCACACATTATATATAATCAGGGCTTGATTAGATAGTAAGTGAATCATAGTACTCAGTTGTAATTAACGTTACAGGGAGCCCTGGGGGCATTGTCTGTGGGGAGGTAGGTGCTCACCTGAACACCTCGCCTCTCTGGCAGGGAGGGAGGGAGGTGGACCATCTCCTCCCGGGCAGTTTTACACCCTCCTGAAAGCTCGGGGGCGGGGGGGGGGGGGGTGTGTCACCTCTGAGTCTGCATTTTTAAATGAATGTTCTGAAACAAAATGCCTGTGAGTGAATAACATAAAGCTGACATGATCTGTAAACTTTCACACAAAGAAATTTCAAAATAATAAAGAAACCACATAACAATAGGGACAATCAGGCAGTGGTAAAATCAGAAACATTACAGGCATCTTGTGGTCCAAACTCCACACAGAGCTGTGAGCCCGTGGTGCGTACAGGCGCGTGCGCGCGTGTCTATGTGTCTACACCTGACCATTAACCAAATGGTCTGCAGTCTGACCTCACTAGCTGGTCCTCAGGTGAGCTATGAGGCAGCCTGCTCCCGTGGAGATGGCAGAACAGGTCTGAATCCATGTGACAGCTTGCAAGGTGGACGGGCCGGTCTCTAGAGAAACACCACTTGGTGCTTGGGAAAGGAGAGGGTCAGCGGAGGAGAGCAAGCCTCTGTGAGCGCGATGTCATGCGTGGAAGCCCAGGGCTGGGCAGGGCTTGATTCTGGCACCAAACCACAAAATGCGTCACAATCAACTCGCAGGAATCACTTTCTGTTTTTGTTTGAAAACTTTTTTTTTTCTTTGTAAACTTTTCATTCTATCTTGAGTGAAAGGTTACAGGGCAAATTGGTTTTCTGTTCCAGACGCTTGTTGTTGTTATGTGCCGTCGAGTCGCTTGTGACTCATAGCGACCCTATGTACAACAGCCCCAAACTCCACTCTGTCCTGTGCCAATCGCACTGTCTCTGATACTCCCATCCCAATTATCCCAGTCACTGACTCAATCCTCCTCATAGAGGGCCTTCCCCTCCTGCGCCGTCCCTCCACCCTCCGAAGCATGATGTCCTTCTCCAAGGACCGGTCTCTCCTCACAACATGTCCAAAGTACGTGAGATGGAGCCTCAGAATCCTTGCCTCCAAGGAGTGTCCAGTTTGACCCTTTCCAGGATGAATCTGTTTTCCTAGCAGTCCATGGTATTCTCAATACTCTTCTCTAGCACCACAGCTCAAAGGCATCAATTCTCCTTCTATCCTCCTTAGTCATTGTTCAACTCTCTGTTGCATAACAAGTGATTACAAAGATCGTGGCCTGTATCAGACGCACCTTAGTCTCCAGAGAGACACCATTGCTCTTCAGCACTTTGGAGAGGTCCCTAACAGCAGACTTTCCCATGGCAATGCGCCTTTTAATTTCTTGGCTACTGGTGCCAAGAGTGTTGACTGTGGAGCCAAGCAAACTAAAGCTGTGTACAATCTCAATCTCTTCACCATCCATCCTGATGCTGCCGATTGGTCCAGTGGTGAGAATCTTTGTCTTCTTGACATTGAGCTTCAATCCATATTGGAGGCTGTAGTCCTTGACCCTCTGCAGCAGGTGCTTCAGGTCCTCTTCAGTTTCAGCAAGCAGGGTTGTGTCATCTGTGTATCGCAGATTGTTGTCCAGACACGACATTGTTTTTCTCGTGACGCTGAGGGTGATCCTCTCATTACACACTTCCCTCTTCCTCCCTGTGATTCTCATTTCCACTCACCTTTCTTGCCTCACACTTCCTGCCTCTTGCTCTCATAGAACGAGCAAGTGTCTCCTGGCTGTTAACTGGTCACCTCATAGACCTGCCAAGTTGAGCTATCAGGGTGAATGGTAGCTGTTGATGTTTTTTAAAAAATTAATTTTAATGAACATTTACAGAGACTTTGGATTTCCATTCATTCATTGTTGCACTTTTCTCCCTGCCCACCCCTCCCCTCCATTCACTCCTCTCTTTGAAAAGTAAAAATTCTTTCATTGTTATACAGTCCCTCCCCCCAGGTCCACTCCACTGTGCAGCCTTCATTCTGGACTCCTGTCATGACAATAATACCCAATTATATATCCCTTTTAAACAGTTCTCTCCCTCATCTGTTTCAATGCCATATACATTATTTATCCCCACTTTCTCAGTCTCCCCCTCAACCCTGATATCAGTCTTGTTTTACAGCAGTGGCACCATGCAGTATTTGCCCTTTTGTGACTGAGATATTTCACTCAGCATCATGTCCTCCAGGGTCACCCATTTTGAATAATATTGCATGAGTTCCTTGTTTTTCAGTGCTGCATAGTATTCCATTGTGTGAATATACCACAGCTTCTCTATCCATTCGTTTGTTGATGGGCACTTAGGTGGTTTCCAACTCTTTGCTGTTGTGAACAAAGCTGCAATAAACATGGGTGTGCATATATCTGCTTGGGTAGCAGTTCTGGTTTCTTTAGGGTAAATTCCCAGTAGTGGAATTGCTGGGTCAAATGGTATTTCTACTTGCAGCTTCTTGAGAAAGTACCACACCGCCGTCCATAGTGGTTGTACCATTTTACATTCCCACCAACAGTGAATAAGGGTTCCAGTTTCTCCACAACCTCGCCAGCATTTGCTGCTTGCTATTATTTTTACTAGGGTGAGATGATAGTTGTTTGGTAGCTGTTTACATTTAAATTAAGGGAAATGGGATAAAACTAAGAAGTCAGTTCTGTTGGTGGCACCAGCCCCTGGTCAAGTGTGCAAGTGTCCCCGTGACCTGTGGTGAGCTCCTTGGAGGACACATACCCTAAAGCATTTCCAAACCCAAGACCCTGATTCTTTGTAGCCCTCCAGCACCCCGCTGGGAGTCTCCGAGGCTGTCAGTCTCTGTTCTGGAGGAGGACTGCCCAGCTTTTCCTTGTGGAGTCGGTGATGGGTCCAAAACCACGGAATTTTCCAGTTAGCAGTTTAACACATGGTGCCCCAGGCCACCAGACCTCCTGACGTCGGGAGAGCTGGTGCTGACCCAAAACTCTGGCTCACCCGGCTGCTGGCTCCCTGGGAGGGCGGTGGGCAGTCTGCTTCCTTGGAGATGGGCAGCCTGGAAAGCGCCATGGGGCCGGCACAGCCCATCTTGGAGACCCTGTCAGCGAGCCAGTTAGGACTCAAAAGCTGCGGTTGCATTTCTGTGGCTGTAAATCTTAAGGGGAAGAAACCACCCCTCTTGCTTCTGCAGAGGCTACGCGGCGGGCTGGAACCTCTGTGGGTGGGGGGCGTTTTAGTAGTTGAGGGCTCCCTGCCCAGCACTGAGGTTTGCTCTGACTCCTGAGCCACCTCATGGCAACGGGATTGTTTGGGGTTGAGAATGGCAGGCCTTTCTTCCGAGTCTCTCGGTCCAGAAACTTGCCCACCTTGGGTGACCCTTCTGGGCTGTGGAACAGCGTGGAGGTACACCAGAGGGGCCCCAGGATGACTGGGCACCGCAGTAACCCCCTTCTCTCCCCTCCGTTGCTCCCAGCCGCCCCCCAGGTGATGCTGCTGCCGCCCCGGCCACCTGCGCTCAGCTCCTCCCCGGAGCCCGTGGACCCTCCACCCAGCCTGCGCTCCTCCCCAGAGGCCATGGACCCCGTGACCGAGCCTGTGTCCCCGTCCGCCGACCCCGCCACCTCCTCCCCGCCACACTACTACCTGCTCATCGACACGCACGGGGTGCCCTACAAGTACACAGCGCAGCGCAAGGACGGGCGCAAGGCGGACGACGAGCCCCCCGCGGACGGCACGGAAGAGGAGGGCGGCAGCTGCCCGTGCCACGAGTGCGGCCGCGTGTGCAGCTCCCCCATGCAGCTCCAGCGCCACTTCTTGACGCACTCCATGGTCAGGCCCTTCACCTGTGACACCTGTGACCGGGCCTTCAAGCGCTCCAGCGACCTGGCGCGCCACCGGCGCATGGCACACAACACGGTGCGCCGCACGGGCACCGACCGCCCCTACGTGTGCCCCTACTGCCCACGCCGCTTCCAGGACACCGCCACGCTGGCCGAGCACGTGCCCACGCACTAGGGCCCCCGGCTGCCCCACGGAGCGGCGCCCACTGCCAGGGAGCAGGGTGGCTTTGAGACACAAGACATGCCCCGCTGCCGCTCCTTGGGCCCGGGGGCCTGGCCCACTCCCCGTCCCTCTCCCTGGCAACGCGTGGTGTTTTCCTGCCCCAGTGCATCCATCTACCCGTGGAGAGTATTACACCTTCCCCACCGCTACCTGGCAGTGTCTGGTCTTTTCGGGGGCCCCAGTGTCCCCTTCTGCCCAGCAGGAAGGGCACCACCCTCTCCACCCCGATCTGTGCCAGTATATGGGCCGGTTTCCCCATCTGCCCGTGGAGAGTATTACGCTCGGGTGGTCTAGTGGGTAAGGAGTTACGCTGCCAACACAAAGGCAGGCAGTTCAAGTCCACCAGCAGCTCTGGGAGAGAGATGGGCAGGCGATTTCCAGCCTCTGAAAACTCACGAGAGGGTCAGCGATGACTTGGTTCGACAGCATGTAACAGTCACCTCCCTCTAGTCTGGGCATTTCTGGACCTCAGTTTCCCCCGGTAGGAGCGGTCTCCCTTCCCCTCTCTCTAGCTAGCAGTGTCTGGGCATCGAGGCCCCGTTTGCTCCTCTGTCACCATTCTCCTGAAAGGTTGGGTGACGGGTGGGATGGCCCAAAGGAAAGGGGCCAAGCCAGGAGCATACCAGTCGTGGTCCTCAGAGACTCTTGCTCAGGACCATTCTGTGGGTTCCAACACGTCACTCTGTGCAACGGGAATCAGTGGTCCTCCCCGCCCCCGCCGTCCAGCCAGGGTGTCAGCCCAGCTCTCATGAGGCTGACCCTGTACCTTAACCCAGCACAATGCCCTTCCCCGGGGACTGGCCCCTCCTGGTAACAGGCTCCACGTCCTCGCCTGTGGGAAGGAGCCTGGCTGTAGGTCTCCGACCCCACAGCTCAAGTGCATCAGGTCTTACCCGCTAGCTTTCACATGCATCCCACTGGAAAGGTGGCTCGGGTCAGACACGTCAAAGTCTTCAGCAGACGCCTGCCCAGTGCCATGATGCCCCACCCTGGCCTCCGGGCTTGGGCCGCCCTCTGTCAGCGCCCCCCCACCCCGCGCTGGGCTCGCCCCCCAGAGTTGGAAGACTTGGGGGTGGGGCCCCTGCACTCCGCACCCCCGGGGGGTGGGGGGAAGGGGGGTCGCTGCGGGAAGGCGTCGGAACCTTGGCGCGCGTTGCGCCTGCGTTCCCAGCCGGCGCCCTTTCCCAGGCACGCCGGCGCCCCCCGCCCGCGCCCGGAAGTCGCCCCGCCGCCGGCGTTCGCCAGGGGAAGCCCGGAGCCGCCGGGACTCGGCCGCGCCTCGGACCCGCCAGGCCGCGCACCGGGTACAGGCGGGAGGAGGGGCGGGGCGGCCTGGGCGCCTTGTAGGAGCGAACTTGGGGGGCTCCGCTGCGGGGGGTGCGGCGGGACCGAGCCTGGGGCCCGCAGGAGGGTGGAGGGGTGGGGCCGGAGGTGGAAGGAGTCGCCCAGGTCCACGGACTGCACATCCGAGGGGGCGTGGGGTGGGGGCGTGGGAAAGGAGTGCCGAGACCCCGCTGCGTAACGGGCGGCCTGCGAGAGCGCAGAGGAGAAAGGTGTCAGGGGCGGGGAGACAGCGCACCCCCGAGGGCAGGTAGCAGGGTCGGGGCACAGATGTGGAGGAGGCGGGTTGCAAAGTGGGGAGAGGATGGGGAGCGCCGGGGAAGGCTCAGGATGGAGCGGCGGGAAGTGGGGAATTGGGTTAGCGGGGTTCTGGGGATGCTCCAGGGCGCACCCGCTCAGGCACTGGGCTGCTAACCGAAAAGCCCGCGGTGCCTGGATATCGTTGAGATTTATGATCCCTGGGCACCCCTGTGGGGTCGCTCTGAATCAGAACGGGCTTGCCAGCACTTTTTTTTTGGCGGGGGGGGGGGGATGCCAAAGTGAACTAGGCCGGTCACAGCTGCACACAGTGATGGAGGGGGTATAGGTGGGTGTGCAGTGGGCATGGCGCGACAGGAGGAGACGGAGAGGATATGGGGTCCTGCGGGAGAGCGGAGAAAAGAATGTACTAAATGTGCCAGTATATGGGCCTTTCCCTCCATTTGCCCGTGGAGAGTATTAAGCTCGCGTGGATTCTACTGAGTAAGGAGTTACGGTGCCACAGAAGAGCCGTGGGGTGTGAAAAAAAGGGTTCGAGGTGCTGGGAGGGGAAGTGGGTCTGGGAGACCAGCTGTCTTCTTCTCCGAGGAAGACGCTCCGAGTCTGGACTGAGCGCAGGATGGGGCGGGCATGTGTGGAGTCCAGCCTGGGGCGTCGGCTCTTGGAGCTCAGTGGGTGAACTGTCCGGTCCTTAACTGAAAGGTCAGCGGTTTGACTCCGCCAGCCGCTCCCTGGAGGGTCACCCCGAGTTCACTGGGTGGCGGTATAGTCAGCCTGATGGATTCTCAGGTCCCTTTTTGGGGGGGAGGGGACGAGGCACAGAGGGGTTACCAGCGGCGAGGATGAAACCAGTCAGACCAAGGATTGTGACTTCTCTCCCCTCCGCCGCTCCCAGCTGCCGCTCCCGATGTTGCTCCTGCCGCCGCGGCCGCCCCACCCTCGGTCCTCCTCCCCAGAGGCCATGGACCCACCGCCCCCCAAGGCTCCCCCTTTCCCCAAGGCGGAAGGCCCCTCCTCCACCCCCTCTTCGGCAGCGGGGTCCCGAACCCCGCGGCTGGGCCGCCACCTGCTCATCGACGCCAACGGCATCCCCTACACGTACACGGTGCAGCTGGAGGAGGAGCCGCGGGGTCCGCCGCAGCGCGAGGCGCCGCCGGGAGAGCCGGGCTCCCGCAAGGGCTACAGCTGCCCGGAGTGCGCACGGGTCTTCGCGAGCCCCCTGCGGCTGCAGAGCCACCGCGTGTCGCACTCGGACCTCAAGCCCTTCACGTGCGGCGCCTGCGGCAAGGCCTTCAAGCGCTCCAGCCACCTGTCGCGCCACCGCGCCACGCACCGCGCCCGCGCGGGGCCGCACAACTGCCCGCTGTGCCCGCGCCGCTTCCAGGACGCGGCCGAGCTGGCGCAGCACGTGCGGCTGCACTGAGCGGGGCGCCCAGGCC